TCCCTTCCTTCCTTGTGGTTAGAATGCAGTCTTGCAAGCTAATTCTGTCCACTGCTAGCAGTTCGAATCTCACCAGGCTGAAGGCTGACTCAGCCTTCCATCCTTCTGAGGTCAGTAAAATGAGAGATTGTTGGGGGCAGTAGGCTGACTCTGCAAACCACTTAGAGAGGGTTGTAAAAGCACTGTAAAGCAGTATACAAGTCTACGTGATATTGCTATTACCTTTGGGAGTTTTTGCTGTGAATTCTGGGTCAAAGCAAAATGTGTCTTCTGGTCTTCCAGAAGCAGGTTTAAATGGAGGCTGAATCTCTGTCCTGTAAAGTTTCTGTAATCAGAACCACAAAAAGATTATTTCACCGTAGATTACAGTGGATTTATATTGCTTTTCTAGTGGGAAGTTCTTTGCTTCTGAAAGTTCAATTTTAGAAACATTTCCTTTCTGTGCCCATGCCTCTTCCCACACCTGTGATTGTCCCCAGAGCCATTTGGAGTCCCAGGAAGAGGAAAGAGTAAAACTCAACTTTTCCTCTCCTTCTGTTACAGAAGAGTTTGCTTCTTCGAAGAGACTTAATCGAGGGAAGGAAAACTACTGGATGTGAGTACAAATATTCTCTAAGTACTAGGCAGTCACTAGGGAATCTAAAGGTATCAGGCTTTTCTTGAACCTGCATTCTCCTATTTCTATAAATGTTTTTGAAAAGCTTCTAAATGTTATGAAAATAAATAAAAAATACGTACGTTGATACAGCTAAGGTTCAAAAGAAAAGGGGAGGAGGAAGGGAAGAGGAAGAAGAAGAAGAGAAGGAGGAGGAAGGAGAAGGAGAAAGAGAAGGAGGAGGAGAAGAAGAAGAGGAAGGAAAAGGAGGAGTAGGAGGGGAAGGGGAGGGGAAGGAGGAAGGAGAAGGAGAAAGAAGGAGGAGGAGAAAAAGAGGAGGAGGAGGAAGTAAAAGGAGGAGGAGAAGAGGAAGAGGAAGAGGAAGGAGGAGGAGGAGGAGGAGGAGGAGGAGGAGGAGAAGGAGAAGGAGAAGGAGAAGGAGGAGAAGGAGAAGGAGGAGGAGGAGAAGAAGAAGAAGAAGAAGAAGAAGAAGAAGAAGAAGAAGAAGAAG